GCTAAAGAATTCCAGATAAAGTCGGAGTAGAAATGTGTCTGTTTGCGTTCACTCGTGCAGTTTTTTAGAAGTTTTGTGAGAGAATCATTTTATGAATTCTTTTCTTCAAGTGCAACAACGAGAAACTTGAATCTTCGGTTGTTTCCTGTTGAAGACAACAGAGACTGATTTCTTTCTTTCTGATTCTTCTCACAAAGTCGACCCACGTTATGTCTCAACAGCAGTGATGGAAGAAGAGTGCTTTAAGAAGTGCTGCAATTTGAGCACAAATGAACCGGCATCGAGGGCCAACATCTAAAAATATGAATCATTTGTAACTTGTAATTCTGGTGCCGACTAGTGAGGGTGATGACTTCCAACCTTTAAGTGGACTAACGGGCACATCCCTAGTTATTAGATTGTGATGTCATCCTCTGACGTTAACCTGATAGACTCGATTACACGCTGAACTTGCTTCATACCTTCAGGTTGACCTGGATGACTCTGTCAAAGTGATCCTCCTCCATGTTGAGCAGGAAGTGGTCCTGCGTGATGCCTGCTGCGTTCACACACACTGAGGGAGGCTGGAAGTAATGAGTGTGTAGAGGAACAGAACAATAACTTACAAGGAGAGAAAAACAACACGTGGAATAGCCCCTCCAGCATGAAAACACACAGAGAGAAAAGTACCTTTTTCTACAGAAAGGTTGCTGATTATGATGGAAATGTAAACACATGTTGTGTTGGCTTGTCTTCCTGTCTGTATCACACCTGTATTCTGGTGACCAGCTTCTTCACGCTCTCTTTTGATGACACATCCACCACAGCCGCCATGTGACCCTGTCCTCTGAGGTCATTCTGCAGACCCACCATGGTCTCGTTGGCAGACTCCTCGCTGATGTCTGCCACCACCACGGAGGCGCCCTCAGAGGCCAAACGCTGACATACCGCCCGTCCGATCCACTGCCTCCTCCTGGGAGGGAAAAGAGTAGCATGAAGTTACCAGAGTGACAGAATGTTTTAAACACAACGCTGCAGAGGAAAGACTGAGTGTGACAGAAGATCCACTCTGGAAGTATCTGAAAAAACAAATATCAATCAAGGACGACAAGAAAACACACAGGACAGGAAGCTGACTTGATGTGATTGATTTTCAGTTTGATTAGCCCAACAGTTCAGGGCTACATGACCAATTGTTATTCACAAATCATCTGCGCCCAATCACATTTCTTTCTTTCTTCTGTCTTCAAAAACCTTGAGTCCACTTTTCTATGTGAAAATGTAAGAGGACAAGTGATGCTTCATCATTCATAATACAGCTTTAATGTTTATTCCATCAGTCAAAGAAGACAATTAATAAGCCACAATTCTCATAATACATGTATCCTTTCAGTCACTCACTGTATCCACACTGTATTGCATTTTTTACAGTTTTGAACCTTAAGTCGGACAAAACCAGACATTTAAAGATTTAAACTCTGAGGCATTTAAACATGTTTCCTTTTTCAGTATTTTCACAATTCAACGGCAGATCATTTCATTCTGAAATGGTTGCAGGTCTTATTGATAGCATACACACAGCCAGAATGACAGCTACACTTTCACCTTCACTCTCATTTCAAGTCATCAAACTTAATTCAGTCCGATCTGCTCGAGGTACTGATTTAGAAATCACTGATAGAATCACGGTTACACTAAAATAATGAATTCATTGTCAGCTTACTTTGGAGATCAAACTTTTTGATATCAGAAGCTACTTGCAGTAGGTAGCTGCTTTGATTTGGTGAATTGAAGAAGATTGCAGAAAAACACACGGCTTTGAACGCAACATCTTGAAAAGGGAAAAGGGCATGTCCTTAAACGTCTCACTTCACACAACACCATGTATCTTACAACATATATTTACCAGTGACCAGCGTCAACCTTGATATCAGCCGTGTGGCAGCCGTCATACTCCCATCATGTTTCCCCCCTTATGTTGTTGTAGCTTTCGGGTTGTCCACTAGATGGCGCCCAGTGATGAAAAATGTTACGTGTTCCGGTTCCGGTTGATGACGAGCCCAGCAGAGTTTAACTAAAAGCTAAGGAGGCGAGGAGGGAATCATCTATTACAATGCTTTGTCATTTTATTCATCAAACTGACCATAGATTACAGTCACAGTATGAACAGGATGGAATATCCCTCCGTTTTAATACAAGGTTTATTTTGAAAGGGTTTAACGGAAGTATCTCTTCGCTACGTGTATCTAACTTGACTCTGCGGGTGTAGTTCTTCATTGAGGCCACTAGATGGCGCACGATACTGAATACGCCAATGTAGAACAAGAAACACATTTAAAAACAGCTACACGGACAGAATACATGATGTTGATTCAAATGAACATTAAATACATTTTTATCTTGGACAACAGATATTTTATAACTTAATTGGCCATAGATTAAAGCGTTGTGTTGTTCACTCCGTCAAACATTACCTTCATAAAGTGCAGCTAGCGTTAACAAGAGGGAGCTGTAAGGCGATGTGATAATGTTCCTTTACAAACTTTCACTGTTTGATAGAAGAAAAAGATTAAAGTCTTTTGTTATAATTCGGTAAAGTTAATTAATCAGCATGAACAACGGCTTCCTAGTTTTGGTGAATTGTTCAGGAGGACACAAACTTTCCTGTGAGCTTTGCATAGATGTTTAGAATTAGCGGCAGAAACTTTGTTGATCAAGAGGGAGATAAAATGCCTCAACCTCCATTAATTTGAGGTAAAAGTATGAAATGATGTATTCCTCTTCCTCGATAGTCTTGTTCTTGTTTCTAGCTTGAGGAGGTTATTCTTAACAGAGTTGATAAAAGTATAACCGTGAGTACACACTGCCCCCTGTGGTCAAAGTGCAAAACTTTTATTTTGATAGTGATAGTCGGAAGTTGTTCTTTGTATAAACATCTACCTTGACAGATTGATGACGCAGTAAATCATTGTGTCATACATAGCGTAATTATAATATAAATAAAGCACATATGGCATTATCATTAACAAAGCAAACAGTGTTTGTACTTAAGCTGTGAGTATTTGGATTTATTGAGGACAATTATCCTTAAACAATCTTTAACAAGAGCTTTGAATTAACTGTAAAAGTTCTCTGTTTTTACTGTCTGTGATCATCAACACGTCATGTATGAAAGAATTGAGTTGACTGAGAGAGGGTCAAATATTTAATAATAATAATTTGGGGAAAGTATACATTGTATTTCTGGATCAGGGATAGTATAAGCTCATTTATTTATTACAATAAAAAATGTATCAGATAATCAGGCCTCTGTGAACATACGATCACACACTAAAAATATATGTATTTATTTTACATGTGATCACACAAGATTCAAAAAAAAATAATAATGTTATAATATATAATAATAACATCTATATAGGAGAATTTAAAATCAAGCTACAAAGTGTTTTACAAGGACAGCAATAATAAAACAAACGGAAAACAGTCTAGACATAAAATCATAAGTAAAGGCAAACAATTATAAATAACAAACATTTTACATAACATTCATTTAAAAGATCTTTAAAAGAAGCAAAAAATATACATTTTGAAGGAATTTTTAATGTAAACTAAAATGACGTGAGGAAGGGCTCGCTGTTTAAAATATGTCTTAGGAGGGGGTTATAATGAAAAAGAGATTAACTGACTGATTATCTCACATGATCTCCTTCTCTCTACTTTCCCTATGATTTTATTTTAACAGCGATGACCGGAAGTAGTACAATGTAATTTATTTTGACTTGACAGTATTGATGCTGTAGTTACTCACTGTGACCACTAGAGGTCATAAATAATGTGCTTCTCATTTATTTACCGTTCAATCGTCGGCTACCCATGTTAGTGACTTCTCAAGTTAACTAAGGAAGCTTTGATGATTTCACATTAATTATGGATACCTTCAGTTGTTTGAAGGGTCCTATGATATCTCTGTGTTGGCATCTGTTTACAAATTAATTAATTAGTGGAGTAAAAATAAAAAATAAATTAATTTATAAGTGACATGTTGCAAAAACTTTTGTTCTGTTAGACATGAAGAACAGCAGACCAGCTTTTGAGGACACTTTATGTTAATTTTATTTCAATCCATACTGTTATTGAAATTTGAACAATGTTATCATTTATTGAATATTTTTTTCTCATATCGTTCCATTGCATATGTGGTAATTGTTACGTCCCATCTCCATTATTGAATGTGATTTGTAGTTTTATTTAAAAGGAACAGATTTTTTGAACATCACCATAAAGTATAGATCAAATCCTTTAATTAAAGGTATCTCATCATTATATTACACAGAGCTCATCCTGCATTTTTATGATTATGTGTAAACACTGAAATTAATTTAACTTTAGTTCAGGTTGCATTCTCACAAGTCTCGTTTTGTACATTTGAAGCTTTTATGTTTCCCCCCAATGATGACAAAAGTCTCATCCTCGCCATCTTTTCTCTGCACCCCTTTTCAGAAAATGTGAGCTCAAACAGGCCGTTTTAGTGTTTGTCCATCATCTTGTCTGAGCTGCAGACTCATCCTAAAGTAAAGGCTTTTAGTCGGCTTGGGAGATTTTATTTCCTGCTGTATGCACATGTTTCTTTGAATAACATTTCTGATGTGGTGATTCGTGTTATTTCTGTTCATTGTCAGTCTTTTTCTCTCTGTGCGAAACTTTGATGCTGCTGTCTTGGCCAGAGCTCTCTTGAAATAAGAATCTTGTATCTCAATGAGAATATTTTCTGGTAAAATAAAAGTTAAATAGATTAAAAACAATATGCCTGTGTGAGGTTTGGACTGAGTTTACACAAAAGCAGAGCAAAATGAAACACAGCATCAGGTGTTCAAACATCAACAAAGTGTCACATTTCTCTTGTTCAGCAGTTTTCAGCGTCCAAAGCTCCAAACTAGTTCAGGATCATTGAACCTGTCAGATAAAGCTGGATCTGTAAAGTGTGATCTGATGTTATTTCATTCAAACCATCTTTTGTGTGTCAGTGATTGTCCTGACAGTCGGCCTAATCTGTGCTAAGACCTGTGTGTAGACCTCTACTGAAGAGTTATACACAACACATGCAGAAAGTGATAAAAGAAGAAAAATGATAAGTACTTCAAAAAGGTATAAGACGTCCTCCTTCATCTGATTTAATAACATTATTCAATGTTATGATTGTGCACACGTGTATTTAAATATCTGATATCACAGAGCACATTGAGTTACTGCAGGACAGGAGAGCACCTCACCACATTTACTCACTATAACTTATATTAAACTATATTTATATCTGGATTAGGACTTTTTATTAAATCCCAGAGCAGCCATACAGAACAAAAGCACAACAAGACTCAACT